GGGGGGGGGCGCACGAGAGAGAGAGAGAACGGATCTCCGTGAGAGAGAGAGAGAGAGAGAGAGAGAGAGAGAGAGAGAGAGAGAGAGAGAGAGAGAGAGAGAACGGATCCCCTTAACACGGATCAGACAGCCCATGCAGGCTATCTGAAGGGTTCCTGCAGACAGGTAGCACAGAACCCCCCACCAAAATCGAGGCAGGCAGTGAATATGAAATAGAGCACGAGCTGGCCGAATATATACTCAAGATTCGAATTCAGGTCTGTGTTTCAGCAGTTATGGGTTGCTCACGTAGCTAGGGCCTGTTGGTCTCTGCACGTCACTCTTAGGGCTTGGCTGCACTACTCACGAAATGTGCAAAATTAGAATGAATCTTCTGCAGAACGTGGAATAATATGCCACCATATGTTTTCATTGTTTTGTCTTTTGTGCATTTGGTGAGTAAAGGCCCTTAGGGCCACTGCACGTATTCCTAAGAAAAGAAAAACGAGAAAAGAAAAGAAAAGCGAGAAAACAGAGAAATGGTGACCTATAACCGACATGCACAGACCTGAATTTGAATCCAGACTAATGCGCCGCAGAGTCTCTGCATGATGTCGGGTCCTAGCTAATATGCTGTAGGGATCCTTCCGAAAAGAGGCTGGACACAACTAGGACATTTTTGTTTTTCTATTTCTTTAATGCGCCGCATCACTTGTGCGTGCGTGCATGTGAGTGCCGCACCCCGCGCATGAGATGAGCTGCAAGTATGATTCGAACACGTCTCTCTCTCTCTCTCTCTTACACACACACACAGGGGGTCCGAAATCCCCCGACAGGTGAGTGCGCTGGGGGGGGCCGGCCCCCAACAGGGTGCCCTGCCCGGCCAGGCCGCCCGGGACCTCCCTCGGGCCCCTGCCGGTCACCTGGGCGACCCGGAACCCCACTCAGGAATTTTCTGTTTTTTTTTTTTTTTTCCGGCCTCAACAACACAATTCACTGATTACAACCCCCGAGGGCTGTTTTGAATTGTTTCAGATGAATGCGGTAGCTGTTGGTCGAGAAGGACCACAAAGACTGAGGTTGCAAATGGCAATTCGGTAACCAGAAGAGAGAGGAAGGACTGAGGCTGCAAATGCAATTAGGTAACCAGAAGGGAGAGGAAGGAGAGGCCACCAAATACAACACGTGTTCAAAAAAAAATTCTTCTTTTTCTGTTTTTTTAATTTGGAATTTTGGACCATTTCTCCATCATCCTTGCGCAGAGCCCATGCTACTAATCTTGGACCATTTCTCCATCATCCTTGCGCAGAGCCCATGGCTACTAATCTTCTTTCTCTATATCATTCCAATTTTAACGGATGTCCCAAAGGACAATTTATTCAAGTTCTCAGGTGAAGACCGTGGCAAAAATCGACCAACAGGAGTCGAGAACAACAAGGAAGGCGGAATAGGGCAATGGGAATTAGGTTACCGGAAGGGTTTGAGGAAGGAAAGGCAACTAACCAGTCGTTCTCAAGAATCAACTCGCGGCTAAGCTTGTTGAAGGCAGCAAGACCAGTGATGGGTAGGTACTCCTTGTTCCTGGACCTGCAAGAAAACATGCTGAATCAGTGGTGGCATCTCGAGTTCAGTTGTTGGGGAGGTGGTTGACGTGTCTAATTCACCTGACGAGCTCTCAATTATGCTGCAGCTACTAAAACAGCAGACAATTCTCCCCATGCAAAGAAAAGCAACTCACGAAATCAGTATTACTGGAATTTACTGCCACTGTAATGAAAGCTACCTTTCGTCTTTTAGATTTGAAAGGTGCTGTTTTGGCTTCTTCTGGAGGATTCTGTTTCCTTCATCACTCACCCAGGAGCAGTCCAGGTCACAATTGACCGTGCAAGAGTCTGCTGAGCACCTAAACATGGTCCTTACTGGCCAGCCGAGAGCAAAAGCTTCCAATATAGATTTTCAAGAAAGACCTCTTATACCTATTCAAATATTTTGCCTTGGTAGACTTTTGCCCATCGAGGTGGGCTGATGACGGCTGTGCAGAAAACTTGGGCACAGGATAGAGCTCTTAGGAAAGAACTGTTATGCCTAGAACCTCAAAGATTTTGCCTTGGTATTACTTTTGCCCATCCAGTGAGCTGATTACAGCTGTGCAGAAAAGTTGGGCACAGGATAGAGCTTTCAAGAAAGAAATGTTATGACTACGAAGCTCGACGATTTTGCCTTTGTACTAAGTTTGTGGTACTTTTGCCCATCGACGATGAGGGCTGTGCAGAAAAGTTGGGCACAGGATGCTATGAAACCGTTCAAGCGCGCGCGCGCTCAAAGCCCCCCGGTGCACGCTCAAAAGCGCTCAATCGCTTTTCGGGCGCGTGCGCACACCAAACATGAGCGCGCGCACCTGTGCGCACACCAAAACATGAGCCCGCGCACCTGGCGGGGGCCCAGACATGGTGGGGAACACGTGGGGATGTTTGCACCGAAAAAAAAAAGAAATTGGGGGGGAGTGGTTTCTGGGGGGGTTGGATGGGCAGTGGAGGGG